CATTCGTTGCAGGACGGGCAGTTCGGATTCCCGCCAAATGAACAGCATGCGTTGCCCCTCCCCCTACAGCGGCACAGGCACCAATGTTGCAAAAGTCCGGGTCTAAAGCTAAAACTGAAGAAAACTAAAGTCTAAAGTAACTCCAAGTGACAGCAGTGTAACAACTCTATTCCTAGTTTTTGCATAGTTCCAGGAATGGGAGGAGATTTTCAACACCCCCTCCCTTTGCCCATCCCCTCCTCTCTCCCAGGAATCCATCCTGAATCTGCCTATAGTTACGAGTATACCAGCCACAACTTTGTGCTATATTCGTAAGAATTTTTCCGCAAAATTCCCTTGAAAAAAATGGCGCCCTGATCTGATTGTAATGGAAGGGGAATTACGGGCTGCACTGTGTACACCTCGTTGTTACCGCGAAAAAAAAAAGCAGCTTGAAGGTTTCCTCCCCCTTCCTCCACCTCTTCCCCGTCCCAGCCTCTTCTTCTCGATCAGGAATCCGTTCTGAATCCGTCTATGATCACGAGTATATCAGCCACAACTTAGTGCTGTATTCGTAAGAATTCTTCCGCAAAATTCCCTTGAAAAAGTGGCGCTCTGATCTGCCTGTAATAAAGGGCGAATTACGGGCCGCACTGCGAACACCTCGTTGTTGCCGGGAAACAAAGGCAGCTTGGAAGGCTTGGGGAGAGGAGAAGGCTTCTGCTAGGTAGTCCATGCAAAAAGGAGAGCAGTTCAGGCCATAGAAAGTCATCACAGAGGAAAAATGGAGGAATGAAGATCTTGACTGGAAAGGTGTTGAGACCTTGCTTGGAAGTAGGAATTTTGAAACAGAGGTATGGATTTTGAGGAGGAGAACGGTTTAAATAGGTTTATGGGTTTATATAAGAAAACTGATGTTAAATTAAACCTGGCAAGCTTCTACGGACGATATCTAAAATCTCATCCGGATAACTGTAAAATCTCACATGGAGGTAAATATAGTTATCAGAGGTAAATATAGTTTTGTAAGTGATGTTCGTTCCCTCTTGATCATGAATGATCACAATGCAAAATAACTTTTTTAAAGAAGTAGTAAAATTTCGGGAGTTTAAGTCAAACATTTTGTATAACTAAGAATCTCACAGCCTCTGCTGATTAGCAAAACATCTCAGAACAGAGGCTGCGAAATTTCATGGCACGATGATTTATGCAGATGCGTTATACTTCTACAAAATTTGCGTTATACTTCAGATTACAGTACTCACATATAACACCATTGCCGTATTTGTATTGAGGCACAGAACTACAGCCGATAGTAGTAATCATAAGGAATATTCCAGCAACTTTTGCGACATAATCTTCTTTCTGTGCGCCTCTCAATTCCTCCCTGTGATGAAACTATGAAAATGAACTAATCATATATATATATATATATATATATGACTACTAAACTCAGGCTGGAACGCACTGGGCGGGCCGTTCGAACGTGCATTTTTGCACCGAACATGAATTACTCAGGTCATTAACTGTATGAATGGCTGTTGCTTTGCAACTACCTTTTGCGGTCACTAGCATATAAATGTATTCATATATATGTATACATATAAATAGTTATATTTGCGTTTTATCTAATGCTTTGAGTCCAGATCACGCAAATATATAGTTATATTTATAGTTATATTTGCGTGATCTGGGCTCAAAGCATTAGATAAGTCACAAAGTTATATGTGGTCTGGGATCAAAACATTAAATGAGACAAAAAGTTTAAAGGCAAGAAATTCACGGCGCGATGATTCTTGTACATGCGTTGAAGCATTTATAAAATTTACATCACACTTCAGACAAGAGAGAGTACATTAACCATAAATAGCACCACAACTACATTTGTGTTTAGACGCAAAATCACAGCCGATAGCAGCCATAAGAAATATTCGAGCAGACTTTTGCAAAACAATTTCTGTATGCCTCTTAATTTCTTCTAGTTCCACCGACCTTCTAGTAAAGACAGTGAAAATGAACTAATCATACATATATGATTATATGTGCATGATCTGGGATCAAAACATTAGATCAGAGGAAAAAATTATGTGATCTGGACTCAAAGCATTTGATAAGACCAAAAGTTCAAAGGTAAGAAATTCATGGCGCGATAATTTTTGCACATAGGTTGAAGCGTTTACAAAATTTCAGACAAAAAAGAGTACCTGTTCACATATACAACACCATAATCACATTTTATTTAGGCGAATTTACATTATACTTTAGACAGGAAAGAGTACAGTATTCACAACAAACACCATAACCACAATTTAGGCACAAAATCGCAGCCATAAGAAATATTCAAGCAAACTTTTGCACCATAAACTTCCACTTTCTGTGTGCCTCTCAGTTCCTCCCTGTAGTAAAGACAGAGAAAATGAATTCACTATGTATGGTTATATTTGCACCTTAGCGGTCGGATTTTGGAAAATCTTTAATTTACAAAGCTGATAATTCATGAATTTACAAATACGCTGTAAGTAAAATACGAGGAAGGCACAGGAAGTTCACAAAATTTTCGATAACACTTTGTGAGCAAGCGAAATTTCACTTTATTTGTCTCCAATCAAAACGATGACCGTGTAAAGCCAAACTTCGAGGAATCCGACTTGGCAGTTCAGGGCTCGCAATCTGAAAATATTTACTTCTTTCACGAGGAGAAACAGAACCTAAGTAGTTCCTCAGATCTGGCAATTTTTTCAACAGCTACAGATGTGTCCCATAGCCAAAATACCACTTTGATTCGTATTTATTTCCTCAAGCTTTCAGCCTTTTTTTTTTCTACAATTTTTTTAGCTTCAAGTTAGCATTTGTGCTCTTTTGGCTGAATTATACACTCAGTATACACTCACCCACCTAAGTCCCTGGCGAAAGGTTGAGAGAGTTGCGACAGGTCCTTAACCCTCCTCCTCCTTTCCCCCCATCCCCCTCCTCGTCTGGATCCACCAATGATGCGATGATATACATGCTGGTTAATGTATTACAGAAAGTGTGTGGAGCACAAGGGCCGGTGATGCAGTGGATAGCACGTCGCGTCCGGATGTGAAAAGGAATGGTTTCAATAAAAAAAGGCGCTCTATTCGCAATATTACATTAGATAAATTCACTTCAGCTAGTTGAAATTTCAGAATGACCGACCGATGATTTGGCCATTCTACTCACTGGCCAGGAGCATTTTTCCTTGTTGTCAATGCACGGTATCGAAATATCCGTTCTTGCTGCAAAAACTGTTCTATAAAAAAAAGACCTGCGCAAATGGATGGATAAATTTCAGGAAATGCTAATTTGGAAGAGCTTCAAATTTTTAAAAATCTTCGTAAATTTCTTACGGCTTGCAATAGTGTATGTTGCATTTCTGGGTCCAGACTGGTCCAGTATAGTGGCAACACTTGAGCTTTGCTTTGGAGTACCATAAGCTCTACTCCTGTTCAGTTTTGTAACGTCTAAAAAATCATGCTTTATTCAGATTATAGCGAACGCATCTGAGCTTTTTTTTTTTGTTACCGAAACGAAATACAGCAAAATCGCATTACCTGCTGCTGCGCCTTTAACGTGCTCATCCCTCCTCGTGGGCAGCTTCACCAGCTTATCAAAATTTGCTTGATCTGTTAATGACTTCTTTATTGTTGTGCTTGATAATTGCAATGGATAGAGCTCGTTCTGAAGCATCTGCCGTCCAGCTGGAGCCTGATTTCTTTGCCATCGAACCGGCGTTCGATTCGTCTGTCGTCCAACTGGCACCTGATTAGTGCACCGTTCAATTAGCGCCTGAGGCATTTGTTGCCTGGGTTGTGCCTGGTA